CACCTTATTGATGTAACTGTGTAGGTTGATGTGTTGAAACTCAATCAGCAACAGCTCATTATCAACTAACTCTTTCAACTGTATTAGGATTTGAGATGATGTTACTGAAACAAAAATAAACAGAAAACATGTACATATTAATGTCTAGTAGTTTTTAGTGACCCTACTAAACATGAAATTCATGGAAATGAACACAGCTTGTTGTTCCTTCATGCGTCTTTGTGCCATCATAAAAACATAAAAAAAAATGCTGTTGGATTAGCACACAAAGAAACTATTGGGCGTCTATAATTAATAAGTGTGTGAATGTACATATACGGAAGTCAATCCCATTGATACACTCCTTTGAATACATATGTCAGTTGTGAATTTTTATGTAAAATTATTTTTTTATTTTTCTACTGTATGTAATACTTGTCTCAAGAATTATTTGCCGGGAATGTGGATGAAAATATTGTTGCTTTTGATATACCGGGGCTACTTTGAAATTCTGTGGAAAATATGACCATGATAATAACATGCATTGTTATTCATGCTTCTATCACTTCTTGCATATAACAATGCAATCTGAACAGCCAAATAAATTACCTTCTCCACTGTCGCCAGCCAGAATTTCTAATATCACTACAACACTGCCCTCATTCACTTCCAGGATGACAATGCGTGACCTGAAAGGCAGAAAGAATATCTATTACCTAAAGCGTCACAGCACTGTTTGAAATTTTGTGTTATAACCACATCATGGGATGGACATTAAACAAAACATGGCATGGCAACTGAAACTCATGACATAATTGGATAGTTTGCTGTCTCGCAAAACAACTGTAGAATTTTCAGTGATACACTAGTCGTGTCAGACCCTGGTTCAAGAAATTCACTGTCATTAAACAGTGTTACAAAATATGTCTTGTGTGGTCTCCCATATTCAGAGGATTATTGATAGACAACCTGGTCTTTTAGCATTGTTTTACTTTCTGAATTATGACAACCAAATTTATATAATACAGCGTGAATATCGACTGCCATGATTATTGTGCAAATGCATAGATCATGGTAACCGTAAACTAAGTGACAGTGACTGTTGCAGCCCTGAACGAAGGTAAATACTTCATTCCATTTTCAGTTCACCTTTTTAAGAAAAAATCGTGCCATTTTTTGCAGAAATCAATTCCAACAACTGGTACTTTGACATCAATATTTCACTTCCACATTGCATTGCCAGGATGTTTTTGGGAATTTCAGCAGAATTGTGTCTGTACAACACTGCATTCTGATTGGTTAATAACGAACACTACCCATTAGAACAAAGAATGTTGTTACAGGTCAAATTGTGAGAGAAAATATCATGGCAGGAGATTTTGCTTACAATCGAAAATATTCAATGAAGAAAAATTATCGTTTTCTTACAGACCCTAACAATTTTACACCGTAAAATCTGATGTAATGTAACTGATATTGTAATAAAATGTGTGGATTTTTTTCATCATTGTAAATGTGTCATGGAAATCAATGACAATGCAACTCATTTCACAATTTTAATTTCACCTGTTCTCCTAATCTGATACGTGGTGCTGAACAAATTTTGTCCTTTGGACAACTTTGGTCAATTTGAATGGTTGAACAAGCGCCCACCCCTTAAAAAACATGATTTTTAAAACTTAGTACCCCGGGAACTAAGTCGGACGAGTACTCATCCAAACACCATCAACAAATGTTTCTCATTTATAACATAGAGGCGCTTCAGAAATTGAACATGATGCATAGTATTTCCCACAACGTTTTGAAATGAAATAAACACTCATCCCAAAGATAACATCCAGAAGAGCTTGTGTACGGAGGAACATACATACAGTAGCCCCCCCTGAAAGAAGTAGAACAATATGGCTTGAAAGTAATGCGACATTACATACTCAGAAATGTGCAGAGCATTGGTGATTGCCATGGAAACAGCTTCCTTAAATTTCTCTAGTTGTTGTTCATTCGATATCAGTGTGTACTCCATGATGATTACCATCTCAACAGCAATGTCATAATTGTCGTCATAATGGCCAACGGTGGATTGTTCTATTAAAATAATTAAATATTTGGGTATTAAATGAAATTGCTCATGATAAATAAATCGATGGTAAAATAGGTAGAATGTATTAAGTGTAATTGGCACTCGAAGGACAAAAACTAGGAAAGTATGTCAAGTATTGATATGTCAAATTTTTGTTGTTGACATGATCAATTAAAATTAAAGCGAGGCAGTCATCACTTGCACATGCAGTAGAGGCCATAGCGTGTTGCTGTTCACAAACAAGCATCTACCAATGAGCTTTAGCTATTTTAGTGTGCATTTTCATCGTTTCTTAGTACTCAATTCGTGTGTGTGCACAGGTGACAATCCCTGCACACGAAATGCATCTTTGTGCACAGTTAATTTGAGTTAATATCATAAAAAAAAAATTGCAACATTAATTCCTTGAGGGTATATAGATATACATCATACAAATTGTAAAACTTAGATGTCTTGTACAGAATTGGAATAAAATCAGCCAAATAGGTCACTGGAAATATAAAACAACATATCCACCATTTAAGTATTTTTAACTAAATCATGACAAGCACTACCAGTATCTGTTATATCCAAACCAAGTACGAAAGAAATCACCTTGGGCATGACTGACAAACAGTTGATGGCACATACAGTACAGAAACATATTCATATTCACCTTTGATATTAACCAGGTAATTCATATAAACATCATTGTTCTATACTTTTAATATGACACTGAAGTGGTTACCATAGTAATACAAGATTTAAACTGGGTTAAGGTCATTCCAAAGTTCACTACATCTATTTATAGTACCACTGAATATCAGAAACTAAATAAATCTTCAAAGTAATACCTGGCAAAGGACTTGTGGATGGAAATACTAATAAATCAATCTCAGCTCTACATAATATATCAGATATCGGACATTGAAGTTCTCCATAATAATCTGGAATCTGTTTGGGTTTGTGATAGAGAGAGAGAGGAAAAAATCGAATCCAATTACTGAATTTTCTCTCAAGCAACATTTGTAGAACACAATATTTAATTCTTTACAATGATTGCATTTGAACAGAACACAATGTTGTAACATTTGCTGAAATTAAACTTCACTCATCATCTTAATAGTGAAGTCATCTATTACAGCGCAGTCAAGTGCTACTAGTATAACTTTATTTCTGACAAAGATAAGTATTTTCCTGTCCCATCATGAAATGAGCAATAAGGTTGTGTGCTTCATACACAAAGTATTGACACATTTTGCAGTATAGGGTACCAATTATATGTACCAGGATATACATGTGATGTTTGCTTGATAAATATTTAAGCAACACCCCCCCCCCCCCCCCCCCCCCCCCCGAAAGAAAGGGGGGTATACCCCAAATATTGCAAATTTCTTGACAAAAAAAAAA